AGTTCTGCGTGAGGCTGTGCGGTGGTGTCTGGAGTTGGGGTTTATGGAGGCTAGTTTCCAAGGAGATGCTCAGTTTGTCATTGATAAAATCAATCGCCGGGATGTTAGGGATAGCCGGGTAGGGTCGGTGTTGGCGGAACTCATCGGGATGTTCTCGACGTATCATGCGCTTAATGTTCGATTTGTAGGTCGGAGTAGCAATAGGGTTGCCCATTTGGTGGCTAGAAAAGCCCTCAGTTTGTGCCCGACTGCTTGTCGTTTATTTGATTTCCAGGCCTGGCTGAATTCCAGGATGTAATGATCTTTTGCTCTTCATAATATAATGATTATCTTTTGTCAAAAAAAAAAAAAGCAAATATGTATCTATGATTTATTAGGGATGCATATTTTCTTCTATTCAAATTTGCTTTTTAGAACATAATGGAACCGTTAATTGTTTTATGGTCCAATCTTTTTTTTTTAATTCATCTTGATTTTTATCTCAAATTTAGAAAGAAAAATTGACACATTGTTCACGATAGTTAATCATGTGTAACAATTAGTTATGAGAATTGAAGACTAAAAAGTTGTTAAATTAATTTTCGTAATTAGAATTATACAATCAATTACAATAATTAGTTTCAGAATTATTAGTATACTTTTTAGTATGAGAAATTTCATGTGAATAAGATCTCATGACTAAATATTCATTGCATATATGAATTGTGTGTGAGTGTGTCATCTCTTAAATTTATGCATGCCAAATACACATATAAAATAGATATCACTAATCAAATATGAATCACTTACTAAGTACCATTTCAAATATTCATTGTATATATGAGTTGTGTATCGTATCTTCAATTTATGCATGCTAAACAGTAAACACCACTTCATTACGTCACTTTAATGTTTGTGGAGTTAGTTCTTCTATGTTTTTGTTTTAAACCAAATATGAGATTTACTTATTTGTGTTATGGTACACCTTTTAATTTGTGGTTGTAATAGGACTATTGGATGGAGATGTTACCATAACTAGTAACTAATGTACTTTACCAACTACGATTATTCACAGGACAAGTTTTTAAATCATACTATTGCAATAACTCAATCATCTAAAAAATACTAAATTAATTCAACACACTGACAAGTTTCTTTAACTTGTATAAGTAATTATACAAGGTAGAAACAAGTTCTCTAAAATTTGTCAAAAAATGTTTGAAATTAGTGCAAAAATAATGTGTAAACTGTAACGAGTAAGTAACACGGTGCGCGAACCCGAACAACCCGCAACCCGATCCGTTCGCAACCCGCTCGACCTGTAACCCGATGACCCGGAACCCGATTGACTCGCAACCCGATGGATTTGCAACCCGTGGATCCGCAACCCGATTAACCCGAACCCGACTAACCCGTAACCCGATAAACCCGAAAACTGACTAAACTGTAACCCGATTGAACCCAACCCGAACCCGCCCGATTGACACCTATAAGAACGACCCCCAAATCCTTTCTTCGTGTCCAAACATGAGTCGCCCGTGTGTCCCGGAACTCTTACCATTGAGTTTCCATAGAGGTTCTACATAGAAGGTTCATGTGTGGTTCTTGCTAGGAGTGCAAAATGGAGTGTAGTGTTGGAGTAGTTTCTCAAAAATAGAGCATTGGTCGATAAATGTTTAGGTGGCAAGTGTTTTACTCTCTAATACCCCCCTCAAAAAGAAAAAGAAAAGAGAAACGAAAATGGGGTATTAAAATGGGGTAAATAAAGTAGAGAGTGCCACGAAAAACCAAAGTACATGCTTTAGGAGGGGTGTCTTGGCACCCATGCCAACTAAACCCCCCACATTGTTTAAAACTCCTTCACTACCAAACCTTAAAGAACTAGCAAGAGTTGACCGAGGAAGAGTTCTTCAAGGTAGTTCATGATAGTTGGAAGGGAGAGATAAGGGTTTTGGTCGATGCTAATGGCCTTTAATTGAAGAGAAGGGTTTTAGTCGAAACCATAGACCCTTCGGGTTTAGGTTGAAGATGTAGAACCTCACGTCATGATTGTCACCACCCAAAAAGCCTTTTCTCCATGTCCAACCAATCACTAGTCATCTGAACCCGTGTCTAAGACCTTCGGACGAGCTAGTGGTGACAACCATCCCATAAAATCTAGCATTTAGAGGTTACCACCGTGGTATTGAGACAATAGGGCCGAGAGTTACGATTGGGCACATCTTTTGCACCAAAAAGGTCCCGACCCGACTGGTCTTGAGAATGAGCGATTCATTCTTGCTTTGTTGCCTTTCTATTTGCTCCTCGGACTTGAATTCCATGCATGGTAGGTTGTGGTCGATAAGTGGTTTTTTTTAGACTTTCATTTATCCATGAATAAGTTGAGAACTGTTCGTTTGCCTGTTTTGGTGGCTTTGAATGTCGTTTGTGGTGGATGTCGGTATCGCTTGCAATGGTTCATGTGTTGATTTTCAATAAACATCGAGAATTCCCACTTCGTGTCCTTTGAGTTTTCCCCAAAGCATTTGTGTAGGTTGAAATATTACCGTGTGCGTAAAATGGTTTGCTTGGGGACAAGCAAACGTCTAAGTGTGGGGGAGTGATTCGGGCCTAATTGCACATATTCTGCCCCGGTTTGCTTAGATGTTTGTGCCAAATTCGCTCATTAGAGGTTGGTGTTACGCGAGGTTCTGTGTGTTTGAGAGATTTTTAGGATTTAACACGTGGAACCAGCCTCGGAATCGAAGGATTGGCGAAAAGGATCAAAAACCGGGAGAAGAGGTGAAAAAGCTAGTTCACGGTTAAGGCAGGATTTCACGATCGTGCAAGACCGTGAAGAAGTGGAGTTGACCGTGAAGCGCAAGGCGTCCAGAGCCAAGTTGGAGGTTATTAACGCAAGGCGAGTTCACGGTCACTAAGACCGTGAACACAAGCAGTTGTCCGTGAACTGCCGTGATCGATGCGGAGCGTTTTGGCGCAAGGCGTGAGTTCACGGACGCGTTTAAGAGTTCACGGCCATGAACTCAGACCGTGAACTCAACTCCTCTCGTGTTTAAAAGCTGAGCTGCAAGGAAAGAGAAGGAGAGCCACTTTTTGTGAGAGAAACACTTCTTCTGCATTTTAGTGAGAGAAACAAAACCAAGAGAGAAGGAGTTAGGGCTTGGTTTCAAAGGAGGTATTGGGAAGATTTTCCCAAGGAAATCCCAACTCAAGGTTGAAGAAGAGAGGAGGCATCCCCAAAAGATGGTTCCCACCTTTTTCTCCTTTGTTCTTCCCTTTTCTTCCATGGAGTAGTCCTCCTCCACTTGGGTGTAGTGAAACCCTAAACCCTACTATGTAGTTTTCTTGTATGTGGTTTGAATGATTGATATTGGGCATTGTTCAATTTAATGTTTGAGGTATTTTTCACCATGATTTTGCATTCTTGTGCTTAGCAACTTAGGGGTTGTGCATATCTTGTGCTTAGTATCCTAGGGTTGTGCATATTTTGTGCTTAGCACCCTATTGTTGTGCATAATTGTGCTTAGAACCCCTAAGTTTGTGCATTTAGGTGCTAGTAATCTAATTTGCCAACTTAGCCTAGTTTAGAGAGGAAAATCCCCCTTTTTAAGGGAGACTCAATCGAGTTGGTTTTCCTTCTGCTTTCCAAGCCACCTAAACTAGGTTGAGTTAGGGCAATCCTCAATATTGAATTTAACAAGTTGATTAATCGTGGTTAAACCGTCCGACCCTAGAGTTGAGTGAGGAAGTAAGCCGATTACTGATTGTCGAGAGGGTCGAGTGACACGACCTTTCATCCTCACCTCGGTTTAGCAATCGAGACTGTGGTCCCCGACCACATACGCTTTTCTCTGCAGTTCACGATTAGCGTGCCCAAGGCAATCGTTCCAACCCACGTAGCATGGTAGCGGTTTAGGGGGAAGCGAAACCCAAGTGACTTTCCCACAAAAGAATTTTCAAACCAAATTACTTTTGCTTTCTTTCATTTCAATTGGGAAACTTTTAAACCAAAGTTTTATTGCTGGATAATGATTTCAACAACCGAGTAGGAGTAGACGGACCTGCCCGGGTCGATATATAGATACTTGCCCTATACTACACCCGATTATAGTTTAAAAAATTGGGCTATAATTGAGATTTAATTGTAGTGTAGATTCGAGCGAGTCAATCTTTGAACCTTAAAATCCTATAATATCCCGATTTAAAACGGTAAAATCTTTAAAATCTATAATTTATACGATTTTGTATGATTTCAAGGTTCAGTTCAATTGGTGCAAAATTAGGCTGGTCAGGTCAGGTTTTGCCCATGAACTAGTTTAAGTGTTGATAATTCCGATTTTGCCTCAGTTTTTTATTTTACATAAAATCACAATTTCCACTGCATTGCCTGTGTGTGACTGATAAGGGGGAAATATCTACAGGATTATTAGTGGATTAAGTAACCATACAACTAATGGACTTTGGGCTAATACTAAATTAGTTGATCTAGCCCAGTTGTTGTCGTCGATTGGATGACTAAAAGACAAAATTGAAAATTGTAATTAGATAGAAATCAGAGCGGAACATTAATCCCTTAATTTTTAGAGGGCTTGTATATAGCTGGAGTTGTGCATCTTATCTTATGTCCATGGATATATGCTCGAACTCAATTGTGTATAATATATAGCTTATCTCACCATCCATTCCCAATTCTACATTCTTTTTGTTTATTTATCCATTTTTTGTTTCTTCATTGACAAGCATGAAAATTGAATGATGAGTTTGGATACAAATATCTCATGACGATCGTTCGATGGCGGTGCGTCAAGTGAATGTCATTAATGTAGTGAATTGAAGTATATGACGATTTCCTTCCTTTGTTTCTTAGTTATTTTATCTCATTTATTTGTTGCAGGTGGTCGCCGATGTAATAGATGTTATGTGAGCACATTAGCTGAAAAATCTACGATCGCAACAACAAATTCAAGAATTTTTCATTTCCCCTAACTATGCATATTGAGTCATGAACTGAGAATTACGAGTTGATGAAGGAACTGAATGGTGTAATTCAAGATTATAATTGTAGAACTGATCAACTATTTATAGTATCGACGGACAACATACAACACAAATGCTTAGGAAAATCTGTACAGTCTTGGTAATTAGGGTTAAGGGACAATTAACACTAAACATCAACTTGGCGACACAATCAACTAATTGGACAAAGTACGTACATGGGTCGCCCATGGTTCACAATCTTTTTACACAAGCAAATCTATGGCCCAAAAAAACAGCTAAAATTTATAAACCAAAACAGCATCCTTCTCCTTTAGTCTAGCGCCCAAACCTGCAAATCCGAACCCCACACGAATTATTCTATGTACACTTTGGGCGATGCAAGAGAAAAAGAAATGACAATCATTTTCCAAGAACTTCGATTTATCGGGACTAAGTGGTTTATTGTTCAAAAGGAGAAGTGGGCAGTGCAATCTACTTACTTGAATCTTTCCGTCGGAAGAGCCAGCATACAACATCCCGCCGTCGGAATCTGTGGTCAGACAAGACACCTTGGCATTCCCACCACCGTTGGTTCTCATGCTAGCAATTTTGGTGACTCTTTCTTTAAGCCACACTTCGATAACCCCCCACTTTGAGGCGGTGATTATGAAGTCATTGTTAACTGTGATGTGCTTAACGTCAAAGCTCGTGGAAAGCGAACCGGCCACGGAAGCGGGACCCCTACTGTTCGAGAGCGCAAACAGTTTCCCCGCCGTTCCGTCGAGCGCGGAACCAGCGGCAAAGAGCAACCCGTCTTGTATTTTCACTGAATTGAGGGATTGTTTTCCTAGCAGCTTTCGAGTGCCGCAGTAGAAAGGCGTTGATGTGAGCTTTGAGAGGTCCACTTCCTGGTAAAATAAATTTTACAAGCATGGGTTTTTGGAATTTAGCAAATTTATATGACCGAAGTGGCTAGTACGGAATTAATGTATATATACCTGGATGCTATAACAAGAGCATGCACAATACAACCTGTCCCCTGACATGGCCAGAGACCTCACATTCTTGTTGAAATTCACATGCCTTGGACCTCCACTCCAATTGTAAACCTGTTCCCAAAATAACCCAGTAAGTTCAGTAAAAACCTTTATTAGCATTTTATTTTTTTCTGGGTATTATTTATGCTTTGTTTTCAAGGAAATGGTAACTTGCCTTGACACCAGTTGATTGAGTGACAAAGCAAGCCACTTTGGAGCTGGCCGTCAAGTCATAGACACCCTCTTTCACATCATGAACTTGGACACAATGAATCTCTTCTGGTTTGATCGCCCAAACCTGCACCACAAACAAAAATAATTAGCATCATACCTTAATTAATCCTTTTGAAATGATACAAAAAAGTATCTCGTTCTTGGTAAGCTCACTCGAATTGTCTTGTCTAAAGAACCACTGTATAGCTTGTTGTCGCCAGGGGAAAGGTAAAGGCAAGTGACAGCTCTGGAATGCTCTCGAACTTCTTGGATCACTCTCGGAACCCTCTTTCCTGCGTCCCATAGCTATAACATACAAACAAAGTAATGTAATGTAATGTAATGTAATTCACCGTGCGTGCATGTCTATAAACATTTATATATGCAGTGCAAGTAGATATTGGCAGACAAGCTGTTTCGTTTAGATCCATTTGTGCACCTTAATTGTACCATCGGAATGGCTGCTTAGCAGTCTGCCTTTCAGATGAACCAAAGACAGCACTTCACCATTCTGACATGATTCCAACTCAACCACTTCACTCCAATTCCATAACTCTGACTGTTAACAAAGGGGAAAATAAAATATTCATAAGCTCAGAAGAAAGGAGGAAAGGAAAGAGCAGACTGAAAAAACTGATCAAACTTACAGCATCAACAAAGGAAGAGTTGATCAAAGATTTCAGAACATCTGAGATAATGGGTGAGTATTTCTTCAGCTTCCTTAATGTCTTGTATATGCATCTAGCATATTTCCCCAGCTCTTGAAGTGCAGCTTCAAGAATGGAAACCATGCAAATGTGCTTAAGATCACATTCTTCTTCCTATAGTGAGATTGTGGCTGCATTTAAGTTGTATCAATTACCTGGATCGGTAACGAAGCTCTTCAAAGAGAGGGTTGCCATAATCTTCTCCTCCACACTTCCTGATTGGAGTGTGTTGACAAACTCATCAAGCAAGGCCTTGGAAGCTGCATCCCTCACCCCAGTATCAGGGAGGACCGAGAGCATGTGAGTAAGCCAGGAAGCCGCCACGAGGCAGGATTTCGACATTTCGATTGAGTTGCTTTTGAAGCATTCCGCCAGGGCCTTGAAGATTGCACCATTCTCATGGTTGCACAACACAAATGCCACGCGTCTCTCCCAAGAACTCGTCGCTTTCTCTTCCTCCTCCTATCAATGAAGCCATGAACAAAATTAGATGAAATACTTCATTCTTCACCAGTGGAGGAGTGTGCAAACTAACTAACCAGTGTTTCCGCATAGTCATTGTCAAACTTCATTGACCTCTCAGCCTTCATTAGGTTGTTATAAGGCTTATCAAAGCCTGCCATCTTAAGCAACCACGACTCCATGTAAGACCTCCCCGTGGAAGTCAGGCGACCAGAGAGAGATACTATAGCATCCAAAGCCATCATTTGGGAGCTGGCGAAGTCCTTTCTTTGAAGTGCTTCAATTAGTGCCTCCACAGCTTCCTCTCTATATATGCTCATCTTACGAGGCTCAACCTGGGAAATATTGGACATTAGATTGGAGTCTCCATTGTTGATTTAAGCTTTTATCGGACATGAACAGTAGTAACAACTTTAGTTCATACTAGTAGATCGAGCTGAAGCAAAAGAGTAGCAATTGCAGGTTGTTGTTCCATTGGGGCCATTTGAAGGTACACCAGAAATGTGTGCATCGTGCTGAATGCTCCCTCGTCCCTGATTATCTTCAAAATCTGATTGCAAGAGTTCCTCCTGGATAATGAATGAAGGAAAGGAATTTTATATAACTTATGAATGTCATTCTTAAAAAAGAGTAGTTTGCATGGAGGATTGTGATGAGGGATTGTGCATTCATCAAATTAAGTTTTCACAACAAAATCCATCCATAGAAATTACAATCGGTGCATTCTAATAATTCATTCGCTTATCGTATCAATTCATCGTTTAAATGTTTACCAGAAAAAAATTCAACTGAGAAAAACTAAAACATGTAGAAGTCATAAATTCAAACTTTCTTATGTGTAAATTAATCACAATGAGCTTTTCTTATCCGTGAACTGAGGAATAAGCATGATAATATTTATTTGAGTGAACTTGAACCGCATTAATGTTGAACATCTTATGTACGCATTTCCCGACATACCTGTTTAAAATAGAACGAAGAATGAGTTGCACGAAAAAATACCTGTTTAGCCTCACGAGTTCAGCTAGGAAATCTATGCACTTGGCTTTCACGCTATCCGCACCAGAATGGAACAGTTCGAGGACAGGAGAGAGTTCTATCCTCTTAGCGATCAAATTCCGGCAGCTTTTATCTGCATTCATGCAACAGAAAAGTATGGATACCACAGAGTTCCTGCTCTCTGCCCTCTCCAGACACTTGACCAGCGCAGGAATCCCATGGGAGCTAATCACACTCGTAGCATTAGCCACCCTAGTACTTTCATCCCCTTCCGTCAGCAAAACCTCCAACATCGCAATGGATGCATCTACTGGATCCAACACTAGCTCAACATCATCGGATTCTTTACTCTTCTTCCGCATGATCAACTGCACGATCGACGGTATGAAGTCGTGCGACGAGAGCTGAGCATAGCTCGGCCTGAGCTGGTATACGAGAACGGCAGCTTCTGACAGCCCATTTTTCAACAAGGCCGCTAGGCAGTCGAAATCGGAGTCCACATTGGTCAGAGTCCTCGCGACGCTCTCGTCCACGAACATCAACTCCGAGAGGAGAAAGATGGATAGCTTCAGAACTTCTCGGTCCAGAGAAGCTGAGAGGACTTCCACAAATCCATTGACCACTGTGGGCTTCGACAGGTAGATCTGGATTGTTGGATCTCCTCTGGCGTCTTTCCAAAGCCTGGCTATCGCCACCACAGCCGACTCACAATCCTGAAGATTATCCGACGTGCACAAACAAGAAATGTAAGGCTTCAAACCGTTGAGGATCGTATCGATCGCAGCTTGGGAGAGCACGCTGGTTGGGGAATCGGACACTGTCGCTGTCGCTCCGAATCTTGTCGCCCTCTGTCGATTTTCGCTACTCTTGATCGTCCTTGCGGAATTAGGATTAGAGGCTTGTGAGTTTTCTTTCGCTTGCGGAGCAGGGCTGGCTTTAGGGGTCTCGGAGTAAGAGAACTCGTGGGCAAGATCGGGGTGCTGCTCTTTCCATGAAGTGATGAGCCGTTTCAGGACGTAGTTGGTTTTGGGCAAGGAGTTCGCGGAGAGTGGCTGCCGTGTGATAGGACACGTGGCGTTCCCCGTCTGCAGCCACTCCTGAATCGCTTTCCTCTCGTAGGTCTGCCCTGTCTCTAGTGTCACCGGATCGTTGAACAACATTCCGGTGATCGGGCAGACGAAATCCTTCGGTGGCCGCGTCCGTAATGAACTCAACTTGTCGGAGATCGGTATCGAGATGCAGCTCTGGTTTCCGTCGTCCAAGTCGTTGGCTGAGCTGAAAAAAGGAAGGATATAAAGTGGGGGAAAAGAAACAGAGTTAGTTGAAAATGGAAATGAAAACAGAGGAGAAAACAGGGGACTTTTTTTTTTTTACCTGTTTTCAAAGCAGGGATTATTGAGAGTTTCATAACTCATGTTCCTTATTCGACCATTCCTTTCATTACCACTTCTCCTCAAGTCCTGAGACTGACAATTGGTTCAATAACCTTGTCACATACCGATTCAAAATCGCAAGCTTAATTGAACGATTCATCGAATGCAACCTACCGATCCATCGACGTCCGATCTTGGCGAGCTGAAGCTGGTGTCGCTGTTGATGGTTGGCGAGCCAGGGGAGGAGTTGGAAACAGAGGAACCTCTGGTTTGAGTACGAAGAAGCCGCAATGCCGGGTTTGGAGAAGGAGAAGAAGAATAAGATGATGAAGATGAAGAACAAGACAGAGTCCGAGGAGAAGCTCCAGGAGATGGCCTTGATGATCGGACAGCGCTCTGCCCAGCTTCCCTGCGCCCGGGACCCGGTTGTTTCTGGTTCGTTTCGGGCTCCAGATCTTCTTCTTCTTCGTCCTCTTCAAGAATTGGCTCCTGGGAAGAATAAAAATTAATGACAATTCCATTTCAGAATTGAACTCCAGGACGAGACAAATTGCAGAATTTCCAAGTTCATAACGGCAGATCTCTTTCACACTTACCCGAACACCCAACAAGTTCGACTCTGTTCTTAAAAATGTGGAAAACCCTGGCCGGCTGAAAGAACAAAGGTGAGAATAAATTACATCACACCTTGACCTTGAAGAATCCCAAAATTTGTCTTCGTAAGGAACATCGATGAAAACCAAAAGTACGCACTTATGTGACTAACCTGGTGGATTGCTGGCCACCATTTTTGGTCCTCATAACATGACTCATCACCGGAGGCTCAGCAACCGGCATCACAGGCGGCGCCACCATCCTCCTGCTCCCCGGCGGCGAGGAAGACTCGAAATTGACACATTCCATGAAGTACCTAGCAAAAACCCTAGTGTTCTCATCCAACGACTCCCCATAAACCTGCTCCAACCTCTGCACCACCTCGATCTGCTCTGGCGTCATGGAGTACAGAAACTCCTCGTTCAAGAACTGATCCAAATCCGCCGTGAACGACAGGTCCGCGGAATCGGGGACCACCTCCATCACTATCTTGTTTCTCCCCTCGGAGTACCACGCCGCGACGGGGCCCATGTGGGGGAGAAACAGCTCCTGCCAGAGCTCAGGAGCGAAATCGACCCTGGAGAAGAAAGGGTCGATCACGAACATGTCCATCACATGGTGTAACGCCTTCTGGGAGCTGCCGCGCAGCTTCCAGAGGTAAGCGAGGTTGAGGTGGGCCCAGGCGGAGAGGTAGAAGTTGGGGACGCCGGCGGTGGTCTGGCTGCAATCGAGCATGGCGCAGACCTGGAGGAGCTTCTCGGCGTATTCCAACCGGGCGAGTTTGGTTTCCCTGTTGGAGGTTCCGATGGCTTCTTCGAGGGCTTCCATCCCCCAATCCAAGTTGGCCAGCACGGCCTGATCGGAGTATCGGACCTCGGCTTGGTCGTCGGCGTTGGTGGAGGCGCCATCTTTGGCGGACAAGCGCTCGGCGCAGTGGTCTTTGTGCTGGAGTCGCTTCTCCTTGTTGGTTAGTTGGGTGGTGATGAAGGTTGCGACGGATGAGATTAGCTGCTTGGAAATGGTCTTCTGGTCCATTGCTGAAAAAAACCCAGAAGAGGAAAACTAGTTTCCTGAAATGGGTTTTTTTTGTTGAGACGGCTCAGGAAATGGAGAATCAACGAGAACAAGAAGAAGAAGAAGAACAGCAACAACAACCCATCGTTTGGGGTTGGGAGAGAATGTGATTTCTTTTTTCCCCCTTGTGTTAGAGAGGTGACAAGGAGATAGAAAACTCTTTAACATCAATTTTTCTGTGCTAGTGCTAAGAGCCAACCAAGCAGTTTGAAGTTGTTGCCCTTTCTTTCTTTTAATTTTTTATGCAGTTGTTGTTTTAACCGGTGACACGACTAATGAATCAATGAGTTTATATAATTATGCTAATTAATTAAAAAAAATTATTATTTGGACGAAAGTAGCTCGATTTTTTTTTTCAAATGATTAAGGTTCATAATTCAAATTATAAGATTGAAAATCAAAAGTTTGAATGTTGTCTGAACTTTCATCAAAGTTTGAAGAACTTGTTAGTTGTTAGGACTAAGAAGAGAATGTCGTGACTCGTGACAACAACTACCACAAAAATAGGGAAGTCTACCACATGACAATGGATGTCACCAAAGTAATGTGGTTGGGAAAAATTACATAAACACTATGAGATTCTAGAATTAGATAATTTTTCCTATTCCCATTTGAAGTTTAGGCAGTATTGATATTAATGTGTACAAGATTGATCCCTTTTGAGGAAATTTCATTTTCCTCACTCAATCCAAATGTTGTTATCGTTAATTATATCGTTTATAAAAAAAAATCTCAATTCAATAATATATTTTCATAATATTTGAACCAAATTTTGAGTTCGAATCCAATGTGAGGTAAACATTTGCATCTAATATTATCATAAGATAAACCTTTTATTGTTCCGACGAAATTTACACTAGATCAACTATTTGAGTGACCTTGAAAGGAGCATCTTGCGGTGCACAATGAACTACAAAAAACGATAATAAAAAAATCCATGAAGGAGGTGTGAATCAGAATTACAACGAATCCAACAAACATCCACAGCTCGTACCAATTTGTCGATGAGCTGATGATGATAGGGAAAATAAAAGTTAAAGAGAAGAACAAGGCAAGAGCCGGCCATCATTTGCTGCCAATTGCCGGCTCTGCCTCGAGTTTGTATTCTAAATGTGGGATCTAACCACAAAAAACCAGAGACTTGATCACTTGTCGCCACGTGGTGAGAGGACGAAGCAAGAAGCAAGCCCTTTCTTTGTAGTCAAACTGTCAAACCAGCCAATCAGGGAGACTCTCTTCTTTGGTCTCTACGGCCAACCAAATTATGAACCAGCCAACCAGGTAGGATTTCTTTGAAGGGCCTTTTGGTACGAATTTGAAACGGGTGTGAGCCCAATGTCTTAGGAATGCCCATCCAGTTTTCAGTTGGGCTTTGGCCCAACATCTTTTAGCGCGAATCCTGCTTTCCGACTCGTTATCTATCCGTTAAGATATTTTATTACTAGACCCTAGCGTCAAGTGCACGCTGCTCCCACCAAAATTCCCTCCCCACTACACGTACACATGTCAGAATCGGCGGTCACGATCCACTCATCGAAAGATTATTCCCATTGCTAATATGTATACACGAGCGCAGAAGATGGAAGAAGATAAGGTGCTAACTCTATAGGGAGTTAGCACCATACTAACTACCATCTAAACCCTCCATCTCTATTTCAGATCTAACGGCAACAAATATATAAAAAAGTATAATAGCAAAACTAAATTGCAAATTTAAATATGTTTATAGCGGAAGCGGGCGGATTTTGGGGATTATCGGGCGGATTTTGGGGGATTGCCATTACCGAACGGTTTCTATTCTGAATTTGGTGGCAGAATTTGTTTTCATTTTTTTCGGATTTTGAATGCAGTGTGCCGGTGACATCACCAAGTCCAGCAAAAGGCTTCTACTACTGGAAAACTCATGTTACAACAATTTGATACAAAATGACTACAGATATTATTTTCCCAAAACTGAAAATCACTACTATACATACATAACAAGTAACAGAACTATTAATACATAGAACTAAAATCACTACTAAACAGACCTACTAACTTTCACTACTAAAATTAAAAACACTCCTAAACGGAACAAAAAATCACTACTGAAATTAAAAACAATACTATAGCTCCGCACACAATCATGAATCAGTACCAACCGTCACAATCACTACGCACCAAGATATGAAAAACACTACGGAAGAAACAATACTACTACCTTTACATACTACTAGTCTTGAAAATAACTACTAATCTAGATCTAAACAAAGAGTAGGCAAGAAAGAGCCAGTTCTGAAATTCTAAATCCATACGATGACGATGCAGGTGAGGACGCGCGAAGGCCGCGCCGATACAGACAATGGCACAGGCGAGGCTGAAGTTGACAACGACGAGCAGGCGATACCATTGCAGATGATGATGACGCAGGCGAGGACGGTGGAAGCCACCCAGATGCAGACAATGGCGGCGCAGGCGAGGCTGAAGCAGATGATGATGCAGTCAAGACCAATTCGGACGACGGGGATAACGGAGGCGGCAAGGGAGAAGCAATCGACGACGGCAAGGCTTTTCAATGTTCTTACAGATCGTTGAGTGAAAGAGAGAGGGACGACCAGAGAGGAAAGGGGGGGGGGGGTAGATGGAAGTGAAGGAAGGACGATTGAAAATCCCTCCAAATACCGCACAACACAGATGGGATTACCTGTGCACCTACCAAAAATGCCCTTTGAACAAACTCACCGTTAAATTTATAAAAAAATAATAAAAGAACGAAAATGGAATTAGTTATTATGGTGATAACTTAATTGATTGTTAGCATCTCGTCCCATCCCACGGAGGATTGATCAATCAACTCAGGCAAAGAGGGGGGAAAATCCAAAATCCTCTTCAAATTTCAATCCTTCTCTTCCGCAGTCTAACGATGGCGAACAACCCCAAGGTCTACTTCGACATGATCGTCAGCACATCCGGGCGGGCCACATCGTGATGAAGCTGTTAGCGGGCACGATGCCGCGGACAGCGGAGAATTTTCGGGCACTGTGCAAGGGTGGGAAGGTCATGCGGGAAGCCGCTCCACTTTAAGGGGTCGAAATTTCACCGCGTGATCCCATGGTTTATGTGCCATGTTATGAGTGAGAAAATGTTTCTATTTTACTTCATCAAACGGTAAAAATTACATTGTTTGTTATTACACTTATACCTGTCCAAATAAGCTAATTACAAAACAGTGCATATACAATAAGTAAATATTACATATGGTCCTACATTAATCCTAATTTACATTATACTCCAACACCCCCTCTCATGATGGAGGCGGATTTTGGGGATTATGAATGCAGTGTGCCGGTTGTAACATCCCGTTCCGGCAAAATCCATATTTCGATCATTAGAAAGTTCGCGATTTAAAATCGAGCGTTTTGATAGTATATCGGCGAAAATCGGATTATCAATCGATCGGATAAGTATACGTATTAATTATATATATATATATATATAATTATAATTATTATAAAAAAAATAATAAAAGCAGGCAAAAGCGGCAGCAACCGCTATATATATATATATATATAACTTTTCCCCCTCCCCTGCCATTTCCATTTCCGGTTTCGCAAAACCCAGAGAGAAGCGGAAGCAGAGCCGCGCACAGGGGAGCTCCTGGGAAAATTTTCACTGCTTGATTCTCGAACTTTAGCAATCCAAAAATCCTGTAAGTAATGCCTAATTTATTTATACATCTTGATTTATCGATTTAGAGCTTTAAAATGAGTTTTTGGATCAGAAATTTCTTGAGTTTCCGATCGAAGGAATTAGTGTTTCGGAGTATCCGGAAGCCAGATTGAACCCAAATTTCATATACGAGCTTCCTGCAGCGAGGTAATTAATCCTCTGGTTCTAATCCATGAATTTCGGCTATTATTTAGGTCGGAGTCGAGATCGCTGAATTTAGCTTCGGTCAGGGTTTGATGTGTTTTTATCAAGAATTTGACCCGGAGCCTAGAATTAATATTGACGGGGATACTGCAGGGAATATTAAGACAATCTCGGATTTTGATTCTGAGTTTGTTTGAGAAAAGTGAAGTTGGGGTACTGGAGGCTAGAACCGGTGTTTGAACGACCAGAACTGGTGAGGGATTAGCACGGCATACCGGGTTTGTTGCATCACGATAATTATATTGATGCTTAGAATTGACCTAGGTGAATTAGAATGGCATGATTAGGGGTGTATGGACTTTTGTGCTATATGACGAACCCTGGACTGTTGTATGATATTATTGACTTGCCCTAATCAATATGGACCTGGTTTATGCTGATGATTGTGCATATGTTGCAAATTGTGGGCTTGACTGTTGACACGCCAAAACACAACACCAAACTACGACCAAGCGGAATCGCAGTCCGGGAATGCAGTAACAGGCAAGTTATATTATCAACCCGGGGTCTAGATCTACTGCTTACTCCGTGATTCTCTATTATCTAGCAAACTAATTCGAATGAGTGTTGTTTAAAGCAAAAGCAGTAAGAAAGCAGGAAATGGTTCGGTTTTCAAAAGCAGGTAAGAGTCACTCGGGATTGAGTCCCCCTAGCCCCTTAGTTTGGTTCAATTGCAATTTCCTGGGTTGATTTACTGTTGATTAGACTGCGGAAGATCCGACAGTAGCTTGAAATCTCTTAAGCTGACCAAGCCCTCTCAGTCTAACTACCCGGCAGACGACTAGCCTTCACCGGGATAGAAAGCTGAGGCTATGAACACAGAACTCCACTACTGGCGTCAAGAACACCAGTACAAAGCAGTAAACTGGCTAACTCTCGTATAGCCTATCTCCTACTATCGAATGAAGAGGCTCTAACAACCTAATCAGATTCTATCTATCTCAGGTTGCAGCAGAAATTGAGAAAAGTTGATCAGACTCCAATCAATTCAATAAACATGCATCATTCGATTAAAATCAAACAGTAACATCATCCCAAATCATTACAATCAAATCCCTAACACAAGGAACTAGGGT